TGTCACCCTGTCATATAACTCCAGTAGGTTTGTGACACAGGATTTCCCGTCCCTGAAACCATGCTGGTTGTCGTTGATAAGCTGTGAGTGTGTGTGTGTGTGTGTGTGTGTGTGTGTGTGTGTGTGTGTGTGTGTGTGTGTGTGTGTGTGTGTGTGTGTGTGTGTGTGTGTGTGTGTGTGTGTGTGTGTGTGTTATCTTCCTCTACAGCAAGATAACATTAGTTTTCCCTCCTCATCAAGACCTGATATCTGAGAACGATAACAAATCTTGCCAGTCGTCACATATCGATCACAATCTTATACGGTAGGTAGACAGCACTTTTCCCCTCGTCTCCAAGTCTAGATTACATTTACCTGGACTAATCTAGTAATAACGAAGTAATTAACACGCACAATATAATCGAAATGGATTGCTTATTTGATTTAAGAAAAGGTTTTAAGGTTATTATTACAGTGGTTGTTGCAACACTGACGTAATGTGTCTCATCGTTCTCATTGACCACTGTAGCAGTGAGAGAGGTAAAAAGCACATAAGCTCCTGCCATAATGCATAATTCAGAGTAGTCATGAATGTCACGTCAAAGGTTATCTTTGAATAATTGCAATGTCAACAAGAGTTCGCCTACCCTTCCCTGGCACCATACCTCATCTCCCCCTCCCTTCCTTCCTCCTAACCTTCCTCCCTCCCTTCCTATCTCCTTCCCTTCCCCTCTCCCTCCTTCCCTACCTCCCTTCCTACCTCCCAACCTCCCTACCTTCCTTCCTTACCCCCTCCCTTCTTCACCATCTCTCTCACTCTCTCTCTCTTTATGTCTAACATATATATATATCTTTCTTTCTTTCAACATACCAGCCGTATCCCACCGAGGCGGGGTGGCCCAAAAGAAAAAACTAAAGTTTCTCTTTTTAAATTTAGTAATATATACAGGAGAAGGGGTTACTAGCCCCTTGCTCCCGGCATTTTAGTCGCCTCTTACAACACGCATGGCTTACGGAGGAAGAATTCTGTTCCACTTCCCCATGGAGGTAAGAGGAAATAAACAAGAACAAGAACTAGAAAGAAAATAGAAGAAAACCCAGAGGGGTGTGTGTGTGTATATATATGCTTGTACATGTATGTGTAGTGTGACCTAAATGCAAGTAGAAGTAGCAAGACATACCTGAAATCTTGCATGTTTATGAGACAGACAAAAGACACCAGCAATCCTACCATCATGTAAAACAATTACAGGCTTCGTTGTACACTCACTTGGCAGGACGGTAGTACCTCCCTGGGTGGTTGCTGTTTACCAACCTACTACCTATATATATATATATATATATATATATATATATATATAAATATATATATATATATTATATATATATATATATATATATATATATATATTTATATCATGCCGATACGTAACATTGATCAATTACCAAAAGAACCTTAGAAAACTTACCTAACCTTATTATAACAAGCGCAATTTAATTTAGCCTAATCTAACTAAATATATTTTAGATAAGTTTATAATAATTTAATAATAAACAAACACAATGAAATATATCTTTTTCGTTAGGTTCAGAATGATTCTTGCCAAATTATTGCATACACAAATATTCGCGTGCTCTATTCGGCAAGAAGAGCGTTGCTATTTAAGCCAAAATCGCAAGGTTTAACATGACTCACGAAATCGTATATATATATTAATATATATTATATAATATATATATATATATATATATATATATATATATATATATTATATATATATAATATATATATATATATATATATATATATATATATATATATATATATATATATATATATATATATATATATATATATATATATATATATATATATATATATATATATATATATATATATATATATATATTATATTATATTATAATATTATATATAATTATATATTATATAATTATTTATATATATAATGTATATATATATATGTGTGTGTGTGTGTGTGTGTGTTGTGTGTATTTAATGTCGGTGTGTGATGTGGCAACGCCGCACTTGCGTCATGGCAGATTTCAGCTGAGTAATTTATTAAATGTTGTGGCCTTTGGGGGTAAAAATTTGGGTTGACAATGTTATGGGGATTAAATTGTTGAGTAAATGTGATTACGAAAGCGGTTAATTACCGCCGGTAACCTGCCTATCATGTCAAATATACTACCGATGTGGTTGATGTTTGGCAACACTGTTCCACCTGCGCAGGTATGATGCGCATACAAAAGGAGTGTATATACACCTGTCAGTGTATATACACCTGTCAGTGTATATACACCTGTCAGTGTATATACACTAAAGTTTAGTCATTATTCTAGGTGAATAACTGAAGGGTAATTAATACTTGTCCTTACTCACTAATAAGACAAATTTAGGTGTCCTCTTCAGCAGATCTGCTGGAGAGGACCTCAGAGTGGGGTCGAAATCTACAGATCAATCTTCTGGGTTTCTCTCTCTGTGTGTGAGTTATTACTGAGCATTATTATAGGTGTTAAGGTTTTCTTGACAGGTAGAGTGCTTTTGACACGCTGGCTCAGTAAGCATGGTGTAGTAGATAGCTTTTAAACCCAGCTGGCCCACTAATCTATAAGCCCAGCCCACTGTACCTCAGTGATCAAAGAAATGTGACCCTGTATCACATAAGCTCAACCCACTCAACAATAATAATAATAATAATAATAATAATAATAATAATAATAATAATAATAATAATAATAATAATAATAATAATAATAACAATAATATCCTTATTTCTACAAGTACTTGATACAACTTATACAGACCATAGCTGACACCAATGAAATATTACTATTTAGAAAGCCCCTTGTTATTCAGAGTATTTCGGGCAAATTAGGTTGATTTTGTCCCCAGGATGCGACCCACACTAGTCGACTAACACCCAGGTACCTATTTACTGCTAGGTGAACAGTGACAGCAGGTGTCTTAAGAAAACACCTCTTGTTTCCATCCGTACCGGGGATCGAACCAACTGAGCTACGGGGTAAATGTGTCCCCGAATCACATAAGCTGAGCCCACTCTACCTCAGTTTATGCAAAGGGAATATTTGCATGAACTGAATTAGCCCCACGAGTTTCCAGTACAATTAAATATCAGCACTGAAGGTTTGAATCCAATCGGAAAAGGCATTCACAAGATATATCATGTTAAATAATCTTTCAACCTCTTCCATATAAGAAAAATATACCTACACAGCAAAAAAAAAAAAAATCCAAAGTTTTCTCTAAGTACGACACGCCAGAATTTAAGGTTTGAAACCGATCAGACGATGCATTCTCCAATAACTGCACGGAGAACTTTACCTTTAATAAAATCGGAAAACCTGGAACTTACATAACTCAAATTCAGTGACAAGCTTCCTTTGAGGTAAACCCACCAACACTAAAGGTTTGAAGCCGACCAGAAGATCCATTCCACAGTTATAGCAGAGAATCCAGCAGAGTAACCTTGATATGTTACCCATGAACGGTACATAGTACCGACAATATTAAGAATTAAACACAAGTACAACATCTTGGTATCTTTATTTGTAGACGTTTCGCCCTCAAGTGGCTTTATCGGTACAATACAAGGACGTAATTTGGAGACTGTAGAATTATATACAAACGCTGAGGTAATCTGTCCCTCAGTGTTGATGTTGGTGAAGACTGTTGGAGACTCCGGTGCTTACCACCAAGACCGAGGGACTGATTACCTCATGTCTTGTATATACGTCCCTGTACTGCACTGATGAAGCCACAGGATGGCGAAACGTCTACAAATAAAGATACCCAGATGTTGCACATGTGTCTAATTCTTCAGCTTGAAATAGAGAGACTGTAGAAGCTTGAAATCTCATTTACTGATTCATTACAGACGTTGTTTCATGCTAACATGAGTCGAAGATAAGGTAGAAGGTAGATAACAAGAGTAGAGGACAAGGTAGAAGGTAGATAACAAGAGTAGAGGACAAGGTAGAAGGTAGATAACAAGAGTAGAGGACAAGGTAGAAGGTAGATAACAAGAGTAGAGGACAAGGTAGAAGGTAGATAACAAGAGTAGAGGACAAGGTAGAAGGTAGATAACAAGAGTAGAGGACAAGGTAGAAGGTAGATAACAAGAGTAGAGGACAAGGTAGAAGGTAGATAACAAGAGTAGAGGACAAGGTAGAAGGTAGATAACAAGAGTAGAGGACAAGGTAGAAGGTAGATAACAAGAGTAGAAGGACAAGGTAGAAGGTAGATAACAAGAGTGAAAGACAAGGTAGAAGGTAGATAACAAGAGTAGAAGACAAGATAGAAGGTAAATAACAAGAGTAGAGGACAAGAAGGTAGATAAGAAGAGTAGAAGACAAAGTAGAAGGTAGATAACAAGAGTAGAAGACAAGATAGAAGATTGATAACAAGAGTAGAGGACAAGAAGGTAGATAACAAGGTAGAACGTAGATAACAAGAGTAGAGGACAAGTAGGTAGATAACAAGAGTAGAAGACGAGGTAGAAGGTAGATAACAAGAGTAAAGGATAAGTAAATAGATAACAAGAGTAGAAGACAAAGTACAAGGTAGATAACAAGAGTAGAAGAGAAAAAAGAAGGTAGATAGGATAGACATGTAGGTGAGATAGATATGTAGGTGAGATAGATATGTAGTTGGAAAAGACATGTATACTGCGTCACCTGGTTAGGAAGGTAGAAGTCATGCGCACGGTAGAGGCTCGCCCGCCAGGGCTCGGAGTAAAGAGTGTTTCTTTTGTAAGTCGTGAATCGATGGGGTTGGGCAGTGGGACATGTTCTTTAGTTTCAGTGGGCGAAACATGCTAGTGGATTCTTGGATAAGTGTCAACACTACTACTACTACTACTACTACTACTACTACTACTACCACCACTTGGATGTTAGTGGGGTTGAGGGATAGTTGGTAAGGTCGTACTGGAAGATTGTAAGGATGTAAGGAGAGGGTGAGAGGGCGAAACGTTCCTTACCAGACACATGTTGAAGATGGGACAATTCCAGGGGCGTGGCTCTGTCACTACCACACCAGCACGACGCTAACTGAGCATTCCAACTGTGCTGTGGGGGGAGGGAAGAAAGTTGTTCCAGAGAAACCTGGGGTAGAATGTGAGGGGGTGTTCCCCTTTGTAACCGGTTGGTGGTTCTCAAGAGCGAAGAAGCCAGCACCTGGCCCTTCACCCTCGTGTGGTGAGGCCACCTGGCCTCAGAGAGTTTGTTTATCAGTGATGACACGAGCGTTATCACGTGTGGCACTCCATCCCGTCACTTTTATACACTACGAAGGGGTGCTCCACTACACTAGACCGTGGCAGCCACCACCCGCTAGGGACTACAGGCGTGATACAGCCGCACTAAGACTACAGTGACACATGTCATGGGTGGCAGCAGCATGTTACAGAGGCAAGCTACAGCACCTTGGGAGCGACTAGCTGGCCAGTTAAACACCCAGACCCACACGGGGCCAAGAGTATTAGCATCAGCGGCAGCAAGCAGAGACTACACTCCTTGTCCGGCTCTCACTGAACCAACCCCCGCCCAGCCCTGCTGCTGTTTCTCCTCTTGTCCTGCGCACACTCTCTACAACACCTCCTCCACCGCCTCCGCCACCACACGCCCTCTAACAACACCCTATCTCACCTCCATTCATACTTATAGACCTAAGTTCTCCGCCCATGTTCATTTTATCCTCTAGGACAATCTCAGATCACATGAACAGCTCCCTCAGTAGAGGGCTGCCACCCAGATGGCAAGAACATTGCACATACAACGCATAGGGAGGGAAGTGGGAGAATGGCAGCGGAGGGGTCTGCGCCGTGTTGCACTCTCTTTCCAGTATCAAATATTGTGTTCCACCTGGTTCTTGTCAGTGTGTGGCAGGCTGCTATACCTCTAGGAGACACCAGCTTGACGTACAGATACTGAAGGATGGGCTGTGACCCCCGAGAACCAGTATACAGGCACAGCGCTGACAGCATTACCAGAGCACTCCGTCAGATCCACCTGCTTCAAGATACCATCAGTGTAGAGTTACACGGCCCGCCATAATAAGCCGATGCTACGTGGACTGCATCTCCACAGAGGAGACAAGGACTATGATCAACGTCATCTTAATACAGATGTGAAGGACTTAGTTTTGGCACTTGTGAAGGCAAACCACTGTTTGCTGCTTAGGAAGTTCAAGCAGAGGTCGAACACAGTTTTAAGAATATGTATGATATGGCTCACAAGGCCGGGAATAAGTGTGATCATTCATGAGTATTGGAGAGGCAGGGGCCCAGGATGCTAGACCTGATCCTATCAGCCCAGGTAGAGGGGTATACACACAAGAAGAGCAATGACTGAGCACCACACAAGCAGGACCTACTGACTACCCGTTGTCATAATTAGCGGCCAGTCTCCTGACTACCCGTTGTCATAATTAGCGGCCAGTCTACTGACTACCCGTTGTCATAATTAGCGGCCAGTCTACTGACTACCCGTTGTCATAATTAGCAGCCAGTCTACTGACTACCCGTTGTCATAATTAGCGGCCAGTCTACTGACTACCCGCTGTCATAATTAGCGGCCAGTCTACTGACTATCCGTTGTCATAATTAGCAGCCAGTCTACTGACTACCCGTTGTCATAATTAGCGGCCAGTCTACTGACTACCCGTTGTTCCATAATTAGCGGTCCAGTCTACTGACTACCCGTTGTCATAATTAGCAGCCAGTCTAAATGACTACCCGTTGTCATAATTAGCGGCCAGTCTACTGACTACCCGCTGTCATAATTAGCGACCAGTCTACTGACTACCCGTTGTCATAATTAGCGGCCAGTCTACTGACTACCCGTTGTCATAATTAGAGGCCAGTCTACTGACTACCTGTTGTCATAATTAGCGGCCAGTCTACTCACTACCCGTTGCCATAATTAGCGGCCAATCTACTGACTACCCGCTGCCATAATTAGCAGCCAGTCTACTGACTACCCGTTGTCATAATTAGCGGCCAGTCTACTGACTACCATCTGTCATAATTAGCGGCCAGTTTACTGACTACCCGTTGTCATAATTAGCGGCCAGTCTACTGACTACCCGTTGTCATAATTAGAGGCTAGTCTACTGACTACCTGTTGTCATAATTAGCGGCCAGTCTACTGACTACCCGTTGCCATAATTAGCGGCCAGTCTACTGACTACTCGTTGCCATAATTAGCGGCCAGTCTACTGACTACCCATTGCCATAATTAGCGGCCAGTCTACTGACTACCCGTTGTCATAATTAGCGGCCAGTCTACTGACTACCCGTTGTCATAATTAGAGGCCAGTCTACTGACTACCTGTTGTCATAATTAGCGGCCAGTCTACTGACTACCCATTGCCATAATTAGCGGCCAGTCTACTGACTACCCGCTGTCATAATTAGCGGCCAGTATACTGACTACCCGTTGTCATAATTAGCGGCCAGTCTACTGGCTACCCGTTGTCATAATTAGCGGCCAGTCTACTGACTACCCGTTGTCATAATTAGCGGCCAGTCTACTGACTACCCGTTGCCATAATTAGCTGCCAGTCTACTGACTACCCGCTGTCATAATTAGCGGCCAGTCTACTGGCTACCCGCTGTCATAATTAGCGGCCCAGTCTCAACTGACTACCCGCTGTCATAATTAGCGGCCAGTCTACTGACTACCCGCTGTCATAATTAGCGGCCAGTCTACTGACTACCCGCTGTCATAATTAGCGGCCAGTAGTGCCGGAATAGCTAACCGAAGGCCAGCGAGGATGAGAGACTTCCTAAACGAAGTTGAATGAGAAAGGAACCCGGACTGCCAGACAATGCATAAGATGTTCCAAGTCTTAAACAAAAAAGGGCCGTAACATTAACAGACAAAATTTACATTAGTCAGGAAGGAAAGTGAAAATACACATAAAGATATATAACTTTAACCCTTAAACTGTCCAAACGTACATCTATGTTTGGACAGTTTAAGGGGTAACCACGGCTCCAGAGTGGCCATACAGATAATCAAGAGGATGGAAAAAAATTACAGTAGAATGAGAACTACAGAAAACGGGAAATTGACCAGAAATGAGTATCCGGAAATTCGTAAGTTACATATTGCTAAAGACCAGATCAAAACCGAAACTGCTGCACAGCCACATAAGTAGGAATATGACTGTATATAACTAATATGGATGGAGATGGCGGAAGAAGCGCTCACAGAAGACAACAGAGAGTTGTAAGATGATGAGGCAGGAACAGGAACGGTACTAGAACTCACGAGTCAAAAGAGAACGTGATGGAACTACTGAAAGATCTTAACCCAAAGAAATTCATGGAACCTGAACACAAGCGAACTTCAGAACTGAAAGAAAGGGAAAGATCTTTAACATGTTATCAAGGACAAGTAAGAGTAGCTGACTCATAGACCGTTATCACGGACATGTGTAGTGTCCAGAGTACTTAAAAAGATCATCAGGAAGAAATGGATGGATCTCGTAGAGATTAGATTGACTCATGAAATCGTAATAATACAATTGCAAACAAATCAGGGAACGGGTGGGGTTGGAACCCATGGCCAGTGCGTAAGCCACTTGACCACATGGCCCAGTGGTTTACGCACTGGCCTGGAGTTTTACCATTCACTTGCCATGATTTCTAACCTCACCCGTACTCTGGTTTGTTTACAGATTAGATTTTTAGATCTTGCCACCGAAGTGGCTAGTTTGTTGTATATCCCATATACATCCTGAAGGCAATAGCGAAATAGCCATCGCTACAGAAACCCAGTTCGGATTTAAAGGAGGAAATTCCTGCCGACTGTATATTCTTGGAGTGCAGGAAAGAATTCGAAAATCACCTCACCAGAGATTGATCCTCAGAATATAGGCAGCAATTGCAACGAAAACTATTCAAGTTGACCAAGAAAAATCTAACGAACAGAAGTAGTATCTGGTTACAAAAGGATAACGATCATTTAGTATTAACATATTTATAGAGGGGATCGCATCCTACGCATTCTTCTTCGCCTAGGATTTGATGCTTATATAAATAAGAGCAACAAAAGATGCAGTTGTGTTTTAGGCCTATTTGAAAAATTTGCAAGTGTAGTCAAAACACAGATAATCTGCACATAGAAGAAAGATACTTATGACGACGTTTCGGTCCGACTTGGACTAGTTAATGGTCCAGGTCGGACAGAAACATCATACTCAGCTTATTTGTGTATTGTTCCAGTCACGATACTGTGCATGAAAACATTTCTTTACCTGAGTTAAACATTTCCTTATCTGAGTTAAACCCCAGAGCCCAAGAGCTTGTGGATAATGAAGAATGAGCACTGAATTACACCAGTCGACTGTAGGATAAGACCCCTGGACCAGGAGCTGAGACACGACACAGGTAAACACAACACCGCAAGCACAGTTTGGCCTCCGCCTTGCAAAAGTCCTCTCCACATCATATCTAAATCCTCACCCAAAAAGAACTTAACAGTTTTGTATTACCCTCCACGGACTCGTTTAATGAGTATTCAGTGTCCGTACAGCCCCATTTCTCTTGCTTGTCGAGGAAAGCAATAAAGTAAACGGCAGTGAGGGAAGGCAGCCACGGCGGCAGGCAGCAGCCAGCAGCAGGAGGAACGCCCATGTGGTAGGCCCTGCCTTTCTCCATGGTAGTGATCTGATCGATCGATGTTGCGGAGCTTTATTAAGCCAAGGTTTTAAAAGAGCCGGTGTTTTGGCCGCTGGTTTAACAGCTACCGATGTTAGAGAGAGTTACCGGTTTTACAGCTGCCACGGATACAGCTTTTCCAGCGTTACAGTTGCCACAGCTGCTAGACTTACAGCTGCCGGTGGCTACTACGAACTGACCTTGTAGATCGATATCACTGCAGGTGAGGTGATCACAATGCAGTCCCTGCTCCTCCTCCTACTGCTGCTGATGTCATGACCAGCAGCTGCTCCTAGGTCATGGGTAGAGAGTACCGCTCACAACCGCTGGGATCAGGGTTCGATCCCCAGCCGAGGAATGACGAATGGGGAAGTCTTCTTCTTCACCTGCTGCCCCTGTTCACCTGCTGCCCCTGTTCACCTGCTGCCCCTGTTCACCTGCTGTCCCTGTTCACCTGCTGCTCCTGTTCACCTGTTGCCCCTTTTCACCTGCTGCCCCTGTTCACCTAAGGGGAAGTAGGTACCCAGAGAACAGGACCGATGGAACCCATTGTAAATAAGCCACACGGTTTGTTTTTCCTTGGGTTGTCCTGGGTTGAACAAGCCTGGCTTGAAGAGTAGTGTGTCTTGTCCTAAAATAGAAGGATAGAGGGTCGAATCACCCGCCATTCATTCCCTGCTGCCTCATGTTCACTTGCTGCCCTGATTCAATCTGAGTCCCTTCACTGGATCACCGATTTCCTCTCGTCTCCCAAGATGCTGACTGACCATAAGGGTAGTCCCAGAACAACCGATACTTGTAATTGACCCCTCATTTTTTTTTTTTTCCTAGGGTTATATAGGTTAAATGGCTTAATAGTAATACTATACTAAAATAGAAGATAATAATACG